TGGGGTCGAGCGACGTCGGAGGACTGGGGTGCCACGTAGTGGCGAAGTAAACTGACGTGGAAGGCGTCATGGATATGTCAGTCGTCCGGGAGGAGAAGTTTCGCAGTGACCGGTGTCAGCATTCGAATGATGCGGAAAGGTCCCACGTATCGAGGACGCAGTTTTGCGGGTTGGGGCAGTCTGAGGTTTTTGGTGTCCAGGAGAACCATCTGCCCCTCGCGGAAGGGTAAATTTCGTCGGTGTTGGTCAGCGTAGCGGCTGGCGGTCGAATTCGCTTTTCGGATAAAGTCAGCTGCTTTGGCACGCGCGTCCTGGAGTTCCGAAATAAACTGCTGTGACCTGGGTACCGGGTTGTCGAGAGTTGTCGATGAGGGTACCACCGGGTCTATCCCGTAATTCAGGTAGAAGGGTGATTGCTTGGTCGTTGCAGATGGGGCGTTATTGTACGCAAACTCGAGCATGGGAAGGTAATCTTCCCACTTGGTGATGTCCGGGCAGTTCGTGCGAATCAGCTGCTCCATCGTTTGGTTTGTCCTCTCCGTCTGTCCGTCGGTTTGCTTGTGGTAGGACGACGAAAATTGCAGGCGGGTGCCGTACTGTGCCCATGTCTCCTGCCAGAATTTCGACGTGAATTTCGGATCTCGATCGCTGATGATCGCCGAAGGTAACCCGTGGAGGCGTACGACGGTCGAGATGAAGAGTTGCGCTGTTTCTTCGGCTGTGATCGTTGTACGGCAGGGCGCGAAATGCGCCATTTTCGTTAAGCGATCAACGACGACGAGCACGGAGTCGTTGCCACTTGCGCCAGCTGGAAGGCCCGTGACGAAATCCATAGTCACCTGTTGCCACGGTCGTTCGGGTGGCTCGAGGGGCTGCAGTAAGCCAGCTGGTCGTTGTCGTGATGACTTCATTGCCTGGCAGGTCGGGCAGGCGGACACATAGCGCTGCACGTCCGACGCCATGTCGGGCCAGTAGTAGTTGCGCTGCAGCAGCTTCAATGTTTTGTCGACGCCGAAATGCCCGGAGAGGTTGGAGTCGTGTACTTCTTGCGTCAGTAATTCGCGTAAGGGTCGGTAGGAAGGTACCCAAACTCGGTTAGTACCGACTTTTAGGTAGTAACTTCCATGCGGTGTAGTGACCCCGCGGTGTTGACTGGTCCTGAAAAATCTGTCGATCCTGTAGCCCTGCTTGAATAATCCTGCCAATAAAGGGTTGGAATGGGCGACTAGTACTGCTGCGGTCTGCATGGATGGGCGGGTCAGAGCGTCGGCGATGTTGTTGGCGCCCTTTTTATATGTGATGGTGTAGCGGAAATTTGATTCGAGGTAGTCGAGCCACCGGATTTGTCGTGGGTCGAGCTGTGGTTGGCTGCGCATGTACTGCAGTGACTTGTGGTCAGTTCGGATTGTGACATCCGCTCCCGTGAGGTAGCATCGCCATGTTCGAAACGCATGCACGATGGCGAGCATTTCTTTGTCGTGAACCGGGTAGTTGCGCTCGGGCGGCTGCATTTTTCTTGACTCGTACGCGATGGGTTGCAGTCCGTTGCCGAAGTCCTGTAATAGCACAGCGTCGACAGCGAAATCGCTGGCGTCCGTCACGACTTCGAACGGTCGAGATGGATCTGCCAGTCGAAGCACCGGGGGTGAACTCAAAATTTTCTTCAGCTCGTTGAAAGCCAGCTGTTCTCTCTCCCCCCAAAAAAACTGCACGCCCTTATGCAGGAGATCGGTTAACGGCCTGATTACCCCCGCCATATTGGGTACAAAACGGCGGACGTAGTTAACGAAGCCGAGGAAACTCTGCAACTCAGTGATGTTCGTGGGCGGCTTCCACTCCAAAATCGCTTTTACTTTTTGAGGGTCGATTTTAATGCCTTCCCCAGAGACAACGTGCCCCAGAAACCCCAGCTCCGACCGTAAGAACTCGCACTTAGAGCCCTTCGTAATCAGCCGGTTCTGCTGCAAGCGTCGGAACACTTCGTCTAAGTCCTGTAAATGCTGCTCCCGAGTCTTGCTGTACACCAGGATGTCGTCCAGGTAAACAATAACTTTTTTATCCAACATGTCCCGAAACACTCCATTCATAGTGAGCTGGAAAGTCGAGGGTGCGTTCGTCAGCCCGAACGGCATCACGGTGTACTCATAACTGCCGTAGCGGGTGCGGAATGCGGTCTTCGGGCAGTCGTCGGCGAACACACGAATTTGATGGTAGCCACCTCGCAAATCGATTTTCGAGAAGAAACGAGCCCCGCGAAGTTGATCCAGCAGGTCGTCTGCTCGTGGGATCGGGTAACGCGACTTGATTGTGACCCGATTCAACGCTCGATAGTCGATGCACATGCGCAGGCCTCCGTCCTTTTTCGGTGTGAATAGTATCGGGGCGGCGTACGGCGACGTGCTCGGCCGGATAAAACCCTTAGAAAGCAGATAATCCAGCTGTTTCTGCAATTCGTCGAGCTCCGGTTGGCTGAGCCGCCATTGGGACCGAATGGTTGGTTTCGCGCCTGGTTCCAGCTCAATCCTGTGGTCTTCCGGACGCTGAGGTGGCAGCCCATCAGGTAGGTCATCTGCGAATATTTCGGGGTACCTCCGAATTATGCTCGCCACGTCGTCGGGTACAGCAGTGCAGAGCGTGTCGATGTCGGCGATTTTTTCTGAAGCCACCACCTCGTACAGCTGTACGGCGTAGCCTTGCGCTCCCCGTTTTATCGCCCTCTTCAGCGTTATCGCGTTGACACGTGTTGTCGTTGGCTCCGGCTCCGCCCATTTCGGAAGTGTCACGCGCCCCTTGTTGCACAGCACCGTGATCGCTCCCGTCGTCCAGTCGATGGTCGGATCGAAACGCTGCACCCAATCCCTTCCGAGCAGCACATCGCAACCGTCCAGTGTTGTCGCCAGCATTCGCATGGAGAACCCGAAATCGTCGCCACACTTCATCCGAATTTGTCGGACCTCGTCCTTGATCGCCAGCGGTGTTCCGTCCACCAATCGCGCATCAATCTCTGGTAGACTCCTGTCCAGCTTGACTCCGATTTTTTTGGCCGTCGCCAGGTTGACGAGACTGTGGCTCGCCCCACCGTCGACGAATAATTTTATTTTATGCCCGTTAACCCTCCCCACGACCAGCACAGGGTGATCCACGTGTTCATCCACCTTATTCGTCCGGTTGCGGTCGATAGCCCGTATCGGTACCACTACTCGGTGTGGATGTTGATTGCCGGGCGACGGGGTCTCGTCAGTAGGTGGCCCGACTGCTACTGACTCGTTTCTTTTCCCGACCCCTCTCCGTCGTTCCTGTTTCCCTGTTTCAGCTTCGGGCAGTCCTTCTTCCAGTGGCCCGGTTGGTTGCAGTTGAAGCAGTTGTTGTTTCCCCGCCTCGGTGCATCCACCCCGTTGATTGTGGGCTGGCGCGGCGGTCCACGAAATTGAGTGCCCTCCCGGGAACTCATTCTCGCCCATTGCATCAGCGCATCCGTCGATTCGGCCACTTAGACGGCTTCGATAAATACGCGTGGCCTCGCCCGTCGCACCTCGTACTGTACGTCGTACTTGAGGCCTGCGACGTATCGGTCGAGTCGTTCCGCGTCGCTCATATCGTGCACTTGGTCAGCCAAATTGCAGAATGTCGCCGTGTAATCTTGGACCGACGCCACCTGCTTCCAGGTACGCAGCTTCATGCGAGCAGAATCCGAGGCGGATACATGCTCGAATCTGCTTCGCAGCGCGGCGCCCCACTCCGTCCATGTGCGTATCGTGGCCACTCCGAAGATTGAAGTTGCCTGTTGCGTGACAGCTGCCCAGGTCCCGTCGTTCGCACGTGATATCCCTGCCGGAGCCCCCTCTGGCTGAAGAGTCCGCTTCCACCATTCCAACGCCGGTCCTCGCAATAGTGACACTGCAAAATTAATGCGGGTAGCATCGTCACCAATTTGCGCAGCATTGAAAAACACCTCTACACCGAACAACCAAGCTGACACAATGACGGCTTTGTCGCTGGGGTTGAACGGGGGCGGGTTTGTCGGTTTTATTTTAACAGTTGTTGAGACTGTTGCTGCTGCATGCATCGGGGGCGCCATTGAAGCCATCACCGGGGTTGTCGCTGGTGCCTGTCGTGGCGTCGTCTGCGACTGTTGCCTCGGCTGTGACTGTTGCTCCTGCGTCCCTTGTGCTCGTTGCGTTCGTGCTGTCCGCTCGTCTTCAGCGTCCAGCGAGTTCTGTAGCTCGCTGAGGACCTCGTCGTTAGGCATGAAACTGCTTCCTGCTTCATCCACGGCGGGCGACTCCTGATGCGCTTCACCTCGCGTCTGGCGTAGCTCGGCGTTTTCCTCCCTCAGGCGCTCCAACTCGCCAGACATAGTCTGCATGTTGGCCTGCAGCGCCCGAAACTGTTGCATGAGCTCGTTTAACTCCGCCTGGTCCATGTGTCGCAGGCTTCGTCTAACGGGCAGGGGGTTAACAGCGATTTTTCTGGTTTTGATGAAGGCGCAAACGCTATTAGTCGGAGCGAGATAATCGTATCTATCTCTCAGCCGACCGCTTTGCAGCCCACCAAACCTATCGCACCCCCGTACTAAACTACCCCGGAAAGTGGAGGGTAACCTAGGAAAGTAGCTCTGATACCAGGTGTTATGAGTTGTATGAAAGAAGAGTGCGCAGAATGCAATATCGCGGAAGTGATTACAACTACTAAGCAAACATCGGGGCCTAGGCATAATATAGCAAGGCTAGCTAAGCCCGAGGTCGCGAAGTCGTGCGAGGGTTGGGTGTAGGTTTGGGTTTGGAAAACCCGAAGGCGACGCGGAGGACGTTCGGGAGGCGAGGTCGTCGGACCGAGCCTGAACTCCGAAAAGTTGGAAATGTGCGCGTAAGCGGTGCCTCAGTAAGGAATTAGCAAAATTCCTTACACTATGCATTTTGAATACGTTTCAGATACAAATCAGCAACTTTCTTGCAGCCTTCAGAATTCAACTCGAATTTGGGCCAAAAGCCATTTCCACGATGCTCCCATTGCCCTTCCTCTCTCCCGTCGCCTATCCTCTCTCGTCGCCCTTCCTCACTCCCGTCGCCCTTACTCTCTCCCGTCGCCCTTCCTCTCTCCTGTCGCCCTTCCTCTCTCCCGACGCCTATCCTCTCTCTCGTCGCCCTTCCTCTCACTTGTCGCCCTTCCTCTCTCCTATCACCTATCCTCTCACCCGTCGCCCTTCCTCTCTCCCGTCGCCTATCCTCTCTCCTCTCGCCTATCCTCTCTCCCGTCGCCCTTCCTCTCTCCCGTCGCCTATCCTCTCTCCCGACGCCTATCGTCTCTCCCGTCGCCCTTCCTCTCTCCCGTCGCCTATCCTCTCTCCCGTCGCCCTTCCTCTCTCCCGTCGCCTATCCTCTCTACCGTCGCCCACCCTCTCTCCCATCGCCCTTCCTCTCTCCCGTCTCCTATCCTCTCTCCTGTCACCCTTCCTCTCTCCCGTCGCCCTTCCTCTCTCCCCCTCTCATCACCCACCTCGGCGCCTTCGCGCTCAACCCAAAATGCCTGCCCGGGCGTGGGGACTGCAGCTGCAGTCCCGCCTTGTGGACTGGAGCTGCAGTCCCGCCTTGCGGACTGGAGCTGCAGTCCCGGCGGAGGGACTGGAGATGTAGTCCTGGCATGCGGACTTGAGCTGCAGTCACCGCGTGGGGACTGGAGGTGCAGTCCCGGCGTGGAGACTGGAGCTGGAATCCCACCATGCGGACTGGAGCTGCAGTCCCGGCATGCGGACTCGAGCTGCAGTCTCGGCGTGGGGACTGGAGCTGCAGTCCCGGCTTCGGGACTGGAGCTGCAGTCCCTTCTTGGGGACTGGAGCTACAGTCCCGGCGTGCGGACTGGAGCTGCAATCCCGGCGTGGGGACTGGAGCTGCAGTCCCGACGTGGGGACTGGAGCTGCAGACCCGGCGTGGGGACTGAAGCTGCAGTCCTGGCTTGGGGACAGGAGCTGCAGTCCTGGCTTGGGGACTGAAGCTGCAGTCCCGGCTTGGGGACAGGAGCTGCAGTCCTGGCTTGGGGACTGGAGCTGTAGTCCCGGCGTGGGGACTGGAGCTGCAGTCCCGGCATGCGGACTGGAGCTGCAGTCCCGGCGTGGGGACTGGAGCTGCAGTCTCGGCATGCGGACTGAAGCTGCAGTTCCGGCATGCGGACTAGAGCACCAGTCCCGGCGTGGGGACTGGAGCTGTAGTCCCGGCTTGGGGACTGGAGCTGCAGTCCCGACGTGGGGACTGGAGCTGCAGTTTCGGATCGGGGACTAGAGCTGCAGTCCCGGATCGGGGATTGAAGCTGCAGTCCCAGCTCGGGGACTGGAGCTGCAGCCCCGGCTTGGACTGGAGCTGCAGTCCCGGCTTGGGGATTGGAGGTGCAGTCCCGGCGTGGGGAGTCGAGCTCCAGTCCCGACGGGGGGACTTGAGCTGCAGTCCCGGATCGGGGACTGGAGCTGCATTCCGGGATCGGGGACTGGAGGTGCAGTCCCAGCTTGGGGACTGGAGCTGCAGTCAAGGCTTGGGGACTGGAGCTGCAGTCCCGGCGTGGGGACTGGAGCTGCAGTCCCGGTGTGGGGACTGGAGCTGCAGTCACGACGTGGGGACTAGAGCTGCAGTCCCTGATCGGGGAATGGAGCTGTAGTCCTGGCTTGGGGACTAGAGCTGCAGTCCCGGCTCAGGGACTGGAGCTGCAGTCCCGGCTTGGGGACTGGAGTTGCAGTCCCGGCGTGGGGTTGGGAGCTGCAGTCCCAGCATGGGGACTAGAGCTGCAGTCCTGTCTTGCGGACGGAGCTGCAGTCTCGGCGTGGGGACTGGAGCTGCAGTCCCGGCGTAGGGACTGGAGCTGCAGTCTCGATGTGGGGACTGGAGCTGCAGTCCCGGCGTGGGGACTGGAGCTGCAGTCACGGCGTGAGGACTGGAGCTACAGTCCCGGCGTGGGGACAGGAGCTGCAGTCCCAGCGTAGGGACTGGTGCTGCAGTCCCGACGTGGGGACTGGAGCTGCAGTCCCGGCTAGGGGACTGGAGTTGTAGTCGTGGCGTAGAGCTTGGGGGTGCAATCACGGCGTGGGGACTGGAGCTGCAGTCTCGCTTTGCGGACTGGAGCTGCAGTCCCGGCGTGGGGACTGGAGCTGCTGTCCCGGCATGCGGATTGGAGCTGCAGTCCCGACGTGCGGACGGGAGCTGCAGTCCCGGCGTGGGGACTGGAGCTGCAGTCTCGGCGTGGGGACTGGAGCTGCAGTCACGGCGTGGGGACTGGATCTGCAGTCCCGGCTTGCGGACTAGAGCTGCAGTCTCGGCGTGGGGACTGGAGCTGCAGTCCCGGCGTGGGAAATGGAGCTGCAGTCCCGGCGTGCGAACTGGAGCTGCAGTCCCGGCGTGGGAACTGGAGCTGCAATCCCGGCGTGCGGACTGGAGCTGCAGTCCCGCCTTGCGGACTGGAGCTGCAGTCCCGGCGTGGGGACTTGAGCTGCAGTCCCGGCATGCGGACTGGAGCTGCAGTCCCGGCGTGGGGACTGGAGGTGCAGTCCCGGTGTGGGGACTGGAGCTGCAGTCACGGCGTGAGGACTGGAGCTGCAGTCCTGGCGTGGGGACTGGAGCTGCAGTCCCGGCGTAGGGACTGGAGCTGCAGTCCCGACGTGGGGACTGGAGCTGCAGTCCCGGCTTGGGGACTGGAGCTGTAGTCGTGGCGTGGAGACTGGGGCTGCAGTCCCGGCATGGGGACTGGAGCTGCACTCCCGCCTTGCGGACTATAGCTGCAGTCCCGGCGTGGGGACTGGAGCTGCAGTCCCGGCATTCGGAGTGAAGCTGCAATCCCGGCGTGCGGACTGGAGCTGCATTCCCGGCGTGTGGACTGGAGCTGCAGTCCCGGCGTGGGGACTGGAGGTGCAGTCCCGGCTTGGGGACTGGAGCTGTAGTCGTGGCGTGGAGACTAGGGCTGCAGTCCCGGCGTGGGGACTGGAGCTGCAGTCCCGACGTGGGGACTGGAGCTGCAGTCCCACCTTGCGGATTGTAGCTGCAGTCCCGGCGTGGGGACTGGAGCTGCAGTCCCGGCATGCGAAGTGAAGCTACAGTCCCGGCGTGCGAACTGGAGCTGCATTCCCGGCGTGGGGACTGGAGCTGCAGTCCCGACGTGGGGACTGGAGCTGCAGTCACGGCGTGGGGGACTAGAGCTGCAGTCCCGGCATGCGGACTAGAGCTGCAGTCCTGGCGTGGGGACTGGAGCAGAAGTCCCGGCATGGGGACTGGAGCTGCAGTCCTGGCGTGGGATCTGGAGCTGCAGTCCCGGCGTGCGGACTGGAGCTGCAGTCCCGGCGTGGGGACTGGAGCTGTAGTCCCGGCGTGCGGACCGGAGCTGCAGTTTCGGCGTGGGATCTGGAGCTGCAGTCCTGCCTTGTGGACTGGAGCTGCAGTTCCGGCGTGGGAACTCGAGCTGCAGTCTTGGCGTGCGGACTGGAGCTGCAATCCCGGCGTAAGGATTGGAGCTGAGAGAGCACATGGCTGTTCTTTGTGATGAATCAACCTTTAACGAGTTCATCCGTGACGGCGCAATCAAGCACCAGCGCCAAGGAGGCAGCTGGTTGTAGCTCACGTCCAGGACATAAGGAATGGGATGCACTCATTCTCACCGCACACAACTGTTTCTCACCGCGCAAAATTCCTTCTCACCACACGTGACTTCTTCTCACCGCACACAACTCCTCCCCACCGTCGCGTCGCTGTGAGTCACCAGTAGGGACGCGCATGTAGCTAGTGGCGCCAGGGAAGCCTCGCCTTGCTGGTTGTAGCTCACGTCTAGCACCTGGGGTGGGTGCGGCGCACGCCCCATGCTGACTCCTTCTCACCGCACTCAAATCCTCCTCGTCGTTGTCTGTCACTCACCTATAGGGATGCGCATGCCGTTAGTGGTGCCAGGGAAGCGTCTCCCAACTGGTTGTAGCTCATGTCTAGCACCTGGGGGGTTGGGGGGGGGTGGACGGGTGAGGAGAGAGAGAGAGCGAGAGCATGGTGGGGGGGTGAATCTACTCTCGCCCTTCCTCTCTCCCCTCCCATCACCCACCTCGGCGCCTTCGCACTCACCCCAAAATTTCTGCCCGTCGCCCTACCTCTCTCCCCTCCCATCACTCACCTCGGCGCCTGCGCACTCGCCCCGAAATGCATGCGCGTCGCCCCTCATTTCTCCCCTCCCAACACCCTACCATTCCGCAATTTTTCTCACTCTTCTCTCATCGTGCGTTCTCGTTTCCGTCTCCCTATCCCTTTTTAAATCTCTAACTTGGAACTCTATGTATTCCTCGCATTCTGGTTTTCCTATGCTGTTTTTGCTGCTCCAGCAGGTCCATGTCCAAGGCGTTTGTTAGTGCGTGAATTGCACATGCAACACTTGTTGATATTGGCACACCGTGAGACTGGGATCTGCACGTCGCAAACTTGTGATGTATTTGCCTGTGTTTTCGCGACAAAATGTTAAGTTTTCTTTGTGAAGTCGAATGTTTGTGAAAACCACAACAGAACAACATTTCGAATTTCAGAAGCATTACAAAGTTAGTATGAGATTTCAAGTGGACCCACTAGAAGGAGGGGGGGGGGGGGGGGGGGGGGGGGGGGGGGGGGGTCACTATTTTAGCTGCTGGCTTTAAAACAAGCTACCTATTTAGACCCCCCCCCCCCCCCCCCCCCCATGGCTGATTTTATCAAGGTAATTACCCTGATTTCAGGGTGATTTCAAACTTCTCACTTGCATGGTCTCTGTGAAGTCAGGCTTTTCACATTTTGATCCCTGATCTATTCAGAGCATTGGTTTAGCGGACCCTAAAATTCTCTGTACACTCTCAGTGTAGTGTTTTCCTGGACCCTGTCAATACAGAGTACGCGAATTGTGGACCCTGAAAGCGAAGCTTCGTCCCGATACCCCCGCATTTGGGTAACTATGATTTTACACGTAACCATGTGGGGGATTCGTTTCATGCGCACAAGAGACATAATACCGACAGAGAATACGACTGTCCTTTGTACAGCATCGATGTACAGCACAGCTCTCAAACTTGACAGCGCAACTAGAAGCATCATATCTACAGCCACGCGCACTGCGTAAAGCACAATGCGTGTCCCTCATTGGCGGGAGACACATAGTGGCGGTCGTCTCTGACAGTGAGGCGGTCGTTTAATATATTCGGCCTTCATGAAGGGCCGAATACAATGACAGCTCGATGTGATGACCACTGCGACATCAATGTCGTGGCGACGCCGTGTATTCTTGCTGACCCTACCTTCTCCGGCCATCTCTTGCTTCCCCCTTCCCACAGCCAGGGTCTTGTTGGTGCTGCTGCTATGTTCACATTGTTTAATTTATTTCTCCGATTCTCTCTCTCCCCCTCTCTAGCTTCTCCCCGCCATGGAAGGCCAGCAGGCTGACAAAGACTCGCCTCAGGCTGGCTCAGATGAGCCAGCGTTACCGCCGAAAGCCACCGACGCAACTGTGCCGGAGAAACCTTCTGATGCACGTCGCTCGGGGCTTGATTTTCTTAGAGGTTCCGCTGCTCCAGTAATACTTGATCCACCTAGGTCTACCATAGATGATTCTGAAGTTAAAGACATGCCCAAACCCGAAGAGTCTCTCCGGGAGACCGCCTTCACTCTACCCCCGGCTGTTGCTTCTTGTATCAAAGATCCACCACCGGTCGTGCCAAGTCCCACACCAAGCACCGTGCGGGTGTCTCTTGGTCCTCCGTCAGCTACCTCCACCCCGAAGAGAGCACGTTCAAGGAAGTGGGCGCAGCATACCCTGCTCATCAAAGGCCGCCGTCCTACAGCATCGAACACTCCAGCTGATCCAACACCTGATGAAGCGGCTACGGCAGAGGAAGATGCCATCCTGATCCGCGCGGACACCGGCTCGCCCGCCCTCACCAAGGCGCAGCTACGGGAGCAGATGTACCTTGAGGCCAGCATCGTGAATGAGACGAAGTGGTCGGGACAGTTCTCTTGGCTTCCATTTGGGAAAACCAAGGACGGGTTTCCCTATGTGAAGTGCAGCGTCTGCATGTCCTACGGGAAGGAGAACACGAGGTACGCAAGGCACGGTGATGACGGTGGTCGTGATATGCAGACACAGGCGTTTCGAGCCTACAAGCATACGGACGCGCACACTGTGGCTATTAATCGGCAGCTGAAGATTGCGAGGGGCATCCGCGAGGGGCAACAAGTGATTTTGCACTTCATCAACTCGGACGTCGAGGGCAGGCGCGCCGTCCGACTGTTGCGGTCGATTGTGTTTCTGTACAAGTGCGACGCGCCGATAAGCATGTTCATGTTAGAAACAAGAAGTGATTGAACTATGAAACATTGGAGTACAAATATGAAACCCTAGAGTTGTGTACCCCCTAAAGGCTAACCCACTTTAGCCTACACAGCAATAACACATATATAATGTTAGACACACCCCCATAGGCAAAGTGGGGGAGAGCAAAGGGTCACAAGGCCAGACAAGAAAGGCAAAACAAGCTCAAGGTGGATCACAACGTCACCACACACTCTAAGCAGAAGCAGAGGGCCACAGGGCCGGTTCACATGGAGAGGCATATATGTAACACAAACAGCAAGGTGATCTCAACCTAGCAAAGCAAACAGGCATGTATATATATATAGAGATCACAGTACAGACAAAACCTACAGCAAGTGAGGAAAAGTGGGCACAAGTCCCAACATAGTGCAGAAGCGCTAATGATCACCAGGCTGAAGTGCCTTGGTGAATATATTAGCGGTGTTGGCATGAGTGGCCACGTAACGCAGACGAAGCTAGCCGCGCTGCTGCAGCTCTCAAGCCAGGAAGTAACCGAGAGCGATGTGCTTCGTTCTGTGCTCCGGTCTGTGCTCCTCACACAAGGCAATGGCAGCCTTGTTGTCGACGAACGGCACTGGAGGAGAACTAGGCCGCTCTCCCAAGTCGGTCAGCAGGTAGGTGAGCCAGCGTAGCTCCTGTGCAGCCATGGCTGTGGCGTAGATCTCAGCCTCACAATTGGAGCTGAGAACTGAAGACGAGCGAGTAGAACGCCAAAAACTGAACCAGAGCCAAGGCTGAAGGTGTAACCCTGTGACGACCGCTGAGTAGCCTGGTCGTCAACCCAAGAAGCGTCTGAGTGCCCAGTGAGAACAACTGAGCGCCTCCCTCCAAGCACGAGCCCCATGCCTGACGTACTGCACAAGTAACGCAGTACCCTCTTAGCAGCATCCATGTGCACCTTTCGGTGCCGACCAAAAGCCACGTAGCGAGTCACAAGGCCAAGAGGGTACGTGAGTTCAGGACGACTGCAGGTCATCAGGTACATGAGGCAACCAACTAGCTCTGGGTAAGGACCACTCGACTCTACGGACTCATCCGAAGGCAAAGCTGAGAGCGAGTGACCTACGGCCAGAGGAGTGGCCTGTGCTGAGGACCAGGTGAATCCGAAGCTCTGAAGGACCTGCTGCACCATATGTGACTAAGTCAGTATGATGGTGCGCTGTGCTCTGTCCCGGGTGATCCGCAAGCCAAGATAGCTTGTCAGTTCACCCAGGTCTGTGCACGTCTGTCTCTTCTGCAGCTCCGACTTCACGTGGGCGAGAGCCTCAGTGTCAGCAGTCGCAAAGACCAAGTCCTCAACGTACACAAGGATGTAGAACGACGGCAGTGAAGTGTCGTTGCACAGAAACAGTGACAGTTCGGCAGTAGAAGGCGAGAATCCAAGAGCCGCAAGTGTAGTCGTCAGTGTATCGTGCCACTCACGTGGCGCCTGGCGAAGACCGTAGACCCGCCGCCGGAGGCTCCACTGGGTACCTGCAGGAGACGACCCAGTGAAGCCAGGAGGGCGGCGCAGCCAGATCTCCTCGTGCAGGCTGCCCTGCAAGAAAGCTGTGCTGAAGTCAAAGGAGTGAAGCTTGTAGTCACGTTGAGCCGCAACGTGCAGCAGCACCCGAAGAGTGGTCATCTTCGGCATGGGGGAGAAGGTATGGAAGAAGTCTACTCTCTCTCGCTGACTGAAGCCTCGAGCAACGTACCTAGCCTTGAGGACAGGCGGAGAACCTGGCGGCCGCTTCACCCTAAAAATCCACATGCCACTGACGATGTTCGCCCCAGTAGGGGGAAACCTCGTCGACGTAAGTGCTAGTGGACTTCCAAGATGCCATCTCTGCACCCATGGTTGTCTGCCACTGAGAGGAATACTCACCCGCGATCGCCTTAGCGTAAGAGCGCGGGGTCGGGATGTCTGGAGCATCTGGGTCTGTTTCAGGTGCAATCAGCATGGACACGAGATGAGGTACAGCGGCGGGAAAGCACTCAAACTCCTCCTGCCTGTCATCAAAGACGTCCGTGCAAAGAGCACACTCACCCCCGACGGACAGAGGACAGACAGACTCAGACTCAGCAACAAGATTGGCAGCGTAATCTAGTCGACAGTGAGCAGCAAAGTCGACAAGCTCAGCAACTAAGGAAGACGCAGCAGCTCGCT